AAAAAACTAGGACAGATTTGCACTCACCTGATCTGAGCAGTCTCTACATCAAACAAAATGCTAAATAAATAATTAGTAAGATCCAACCCTATTGTTTACTTATAAAAAGAACTTTGAGTCCAATCTCAATGGCGTTAACAGCAGGGACACCACTGTACAGTGCTGGAAGCCATATAGGAAGTCTCTAAGTTTTGTCCTGTATCTTCTTGAGCACTTCTATGTGGTCACAGGCTAGACCATGATCCCAGCTGCATGTAAGGCTAGGAGAAAGACTGTAGTTAGAGGTACCTATTGAAGATGCCTCTCTCTCACTTTCTCCCTTCAGGAAATAAATAAATCTAAAATAAAAGAAATGACTCTTTTAAATAATACTTTACCATGTCTTTGAATCCAGAGTTTATAAAGATAACAAAAAGGTTAGGAGATAACTAACAAAACCCACACATACGATCAAAGTCGCATGCAATTTATGAGCAGTAACCCAGGCATGACCATGAATTACATGCTCAAGATTTGACATAGTGGAAACATTAACATGTATTTCATTCCCTCCTCACTGAAGATTAGTTAGGACCACTCCTAGCAAGAGGTGGCTAGAAGAGCTTACCAGTCCTGGTCAAATTTGAACTTCTCTTCTGATATGAACGAGTTCTGCCAAGCCTATTGTTAAGTATCCTCTATCATTTTCCCATAAAGATGTCCAATGATTTAATCTTGCCATTATATCAAAACTCTTATAATTACATGCCAGATTTTTCCAGTCTCTGCATATTTGTGGTCTCTGAGAATGATTTTCTTCTACCTACCTCTTATATCTCCAGGAAAGGCTCACTTCTCCATTTGGTTGAACTCATCTCTTCTATGAGTTCTCATTTTGGAAAAAAAGAGGAAAGCTTTATGACATTTTATCAGAAAGAAGAATTTCCAGGCCCAGCCCATGTGCTGGACTGAAAACACAAGTGCCCTTCAAGGCTGAAAGTCATGTGGCCAATCAGTGCAGTTGCAGATCTGGGTTTGACTTGGCAAGCCTAGTGCTTTTCCCAGGATTCCAGGGAACTGGAGATTTGGGGCAAGGAAACTATGGCATGATGAAAGCCTATTTAGGATCCGTCTCTTGTTCTCTCTCTCTGTCTTCCATATGTACACATGCATTCTATCAGAAAATAAATATAAATAAATAAGTAAAAGAACTTCCAGATGGTATCTGGCTTTGAAATGAAAGCAGAAACGTATACTTCGTTACACTTGCCATGGCTTTGACTCAGAGGTTTTCCTACTCTACTATTTAATTGCAGTTATGTAATGACATACTGATTCATGAGTGGATTTTTTGTTTAGGTTCTGTTAGATTACAGACACTTCCAAGGTTGAAAATTAGGGGAGAATCTCACCTCAGATGCACTTAAAGATTAGTCTTTGGGGCACACACATCAAAACACACTAGAAATAAGGAATTTGCTAGAATAACATCATTATGTTTCTTCTGTATAAACATATACTGTAAGTGATTATGCTTGGCCAAGTCTCTACAGCATGAACGATCCCTTAAATTGGGCATGACTGGTTGTTCATCTTAATGCTTTGCCTAGATTTATAGTTCCAAGGTACTATGATAACTTTCAATCTACTTGGTTCCCAGAATAACCTCAGAGGTTTCTAGAATAAGTGACTACTGAAGCTGGTTAGTCAGTGACTACTATCTAATTTTTCTGCTTATAGCCATCACTTTCCATCAACAAAGCACAGTCATACTTACATTAGTTAAGGTAAGATTAGCTGCTGTTACAAGTGTCTTAAATCATAATGGCCTAGGAACCAGCAGATAGCATAATGGCTATGTCGCTGGACTCCCACGTAGTCGACCACGGTTCGCGTCCCAGACCTGGTGGCTTAAAACTCATGCCGGGCGCGTGTGCGTGCGTGCCCAAGATCCCGAGAGGAGAATGGAGGAGAAGGGATTGTGGTGTGGCCATCCTCCCTGGGGGGTGATTTCTCGCTTTCTGTCTCTCTCTCTCTGTGTCTGTCTGGCGAGCGCATGCACCCTATAGCAAAAACCTCTAAAAAAAAAAATCATAATGGCCTAACACAATAAAACTTTATCTCTCTCTCACACAAACATTCCTAGTTAATGGGAAAGACTTCATAGATCATCCAGTGACTCAACACCTTCCTCCATTAAGTTCACTGTGCAGAGAGGAGAGGGTTGGAACTGGCGGTTAACGATCCTTTATTATTAAGTTGTATAAGGTGCATTAACAGTTCAATCTAATTTTGAACAGTGCACATTAGTAGCTCAGTATATGTTTGCTAAGCTACTGAGAGGATACAGCTTATCATTTCTCTTACTATGAGGTGTTCTCTAGGCACTGGCTTCACAAGAACCATGTATGGTGTTTGCTACCCCTAGTTTCTCAGCACTAAAGCCCAATTAATCCTTCTTCTTCCTTTGTTCTTTGAGGTAGAGTGTATTTCTCAACCCTACTGATGTTGGTTTTGGTCATGAAACTTGCTTTAACCAATTTAAGGTGGGCAAAAGTTCAGTTCTAAACAGAGGCTTTAAGACCTATCATGTATATTCCCTCACTCTCTGATACTCCTACCATCTTTCATGAAAAGCACAGTCCCAAGTGACTGTTCTTCCTCTGTCTGTGTTGTAGAAAGAGATGTAGGGGGTAATTTTTTAGAGATATTTTTGCTATAGGGCATATGTGTTCTCTGGAGAGACAAAGACAGAAAGTGAAAATTCACTCCCCAGGGAAGATGGCCACACTGCAATCCCTTCTCCTCCATTCTCCTCTTGTGATTTTGGGCATGCATGCTCACTTACTCGGCATGTGTTTCAAGCCACAGGGTCCAGGACTCGAACGACATTTGACCATGTGGGAGTCCAGTGCCTTAACCACTATGCCACTTGCTGACCCCCAGGGCGGTCTTTAATCCATGCTTAACACAACCCAACTCAGCTGTCCTAGTTTATTCTTAGTCCATTCAAGCTGCTGTTTTAAAGACTAGGTCATTTATAAACAACAGAAATAGACTTCTGACTGTTCTGAAGGCTGAGAGTCAAAAATGAAGGTATTAGAAGATTCAGTGTCTGGTGAGGTCCAATCTCTCATTGATTGTGCCTTACACCTGCATCCTCACATGATGGAAGGGACTAGCTAGCTCTCTGGGGTCCTTTCATAAGAGCACCAATCCCATTGCTGAGGGCTCCAGTGTCATCACCTCCAAAAGGCCTCATCTTCTAATGCAATGACCTCTGTGATTAGGTTTGAACACGTGCATTTTGAGAGACATGGTCATTCCGATCATACCACCATTTCAACTGAACCACAAACAAAGTCACACTTGTGAGCAAGAAATAAATGTAAGTCCTGGGCTTCTTGGTAGTATTTCTTTCACAGCACAGCTGAAGCAGATTGAGGCCTAGCAATCTATACAATAGTCCTCTCTCACCTGCTATTTTGCTTCCCTTGATTCTACTTATCTGTGGCCAACTGTGGTCCAAAAATTAATGAGTACAGGGCAAGATTTGAGAAAGAGAGAGAGGGACACACTCACATAACTGATTAAAATAGGTATAGTTGTTCCATTTTATTTCTAGTTATTGTTGTTAAAATTTTTCTATGCATAATTTGTAAATTAAACTTTATCATAGCTATGTGTGTATTAATGAGAAAAACATAGTTTATACAGGGTTTAGTACTATGTACAGTTCCAGGAATTCTCTAAGGGTCTTGGATTGGATCTCCCACAAATACAGGGGACTACAATTTTTTTTCTAAAAATTATTTGACTGCTCACTCAACAGTGTTTGAAAACTAGTGTAAATATTAGTCCCACCTCAACAGGAGAAAACCTAATATTTAAGTCATCTACAAAAGCTTTATTATCAGGGACCAACAGGTGGTGTGGTGATTAAAGGTGCTGGACTTCCACATGGCTGACCACGATTCAAGTCCAAGACCTGGCGTCTTACTTTCTCACTTTCTCTCTCTCTCTCTCTCTCTCTCTCTCTCTCTGTCCCTCTCTGGTCAGATTAAAAATAAATAAAGTAAATGAAATATTTTTTTAAAAAAAGAGAGAAGCAGGGACCAGCAGTTAGCGTAATGGCTATGTCACTGGATTCCCATGTAGTCGACCACGGTTCGCGTCCCAGACCCGATGGCTTAAAACTCATGCTGGGCGCATGTGCGTGTGTGCCCAAGATCCTGAGAGGAGAATGGAGGAGAAGGGATTGCGGCGTGACCATCCCCCCTAAGGGGTGATTTCTTGCTTTCTGTCTCTCTGGGCTGTGTGGGGAGCACCCGCATCCTATAGCAAAAACCTCTCAAAAAAAAAGAGAGAGAGAGAGAGAGAGAGAGAAGCAGTTCTGAGAAATCTGTGTCCAACATCACCAACACTGATATAACACAATCCAGAAAACCATCTCCTTCTTTATAATCTAGTGTCCACACACGTGTCTCTCTTCTTTAAAAAAAAGAAAAAAAAAAAGACTTTATTGTCAGCCATTTCCCCATCACATAGCAGATCTGAAATCTAGCATTTCTCAAGTGAGAGTTGAACATGAGACCAGGTGGAATGGGCCTTGGGAAGAGGAAGAGGCCTGGATGTGAGAATTACCGTACCCTTCCCGCCTCCATCTGGGCAAGAACATTTGTGAGCCTGCACAGTGTTTAGGTTGTTACATTTTTTTCTTCCAACTTGAATCCATTGTTTCACCATTGTATTAAAAAGGTCAGATTACTAAATATTACATGATCAGTTAAGTCTTCCCAATCATTAGATAACATAATTTAAAGATAAAACAGTTATGTTCTGCATGTAGTCTGTAGCAAAGAGCTATTATTAACTGTGACTAGCCTAAAATAAAATATTATTTCATAGGTCTACATGGTTGTTGGTGTTGGTTGTTTTCTGTATGTTTGGCATTCAGAATGCTCTTTTTTTCAAGGTGTTCAAGTATTTTTTGGTAATCTCTCTCTCTTTTTTAGCTCTGCTAATATCACTACACCGTATTTCTCCAGTGATGTATTTTCTCTGTTCATGACTAACAATTGAGAATTCACTGAGGATCCAGAAGTACTTGACTCTGTGACAGCTGTTCCTGTGCTGGCACAGTAAGTGACAAAGAAATTTGACTTTCACTATTTCTTTGGTGAAATAGGAAAGACATAGGGAACAGAAATATGTTTAACTCTCTAAATACTATGGCTTATTTCCTTTTATGATGGTATCAAAGGAAGAAGAGATAGTCAGAAGAACCCAGAGAAATTTGTCACACCTATGAATCACGTTAGGGAGGGAGATTAGAATTCTTTTTAAAAAATACTTGACAAAAATCTTCAATTCAGGGACCAGCAGTTAGTCACTGGACTCCCATGTAGTCGACCGCGGTTCGCGTCCTGGACCCAGTGGCTTAAAACTCACTCCGGGTGCGTGTGCGTGCTTGCCCAAGATGCCGAGAGGAGAATGGAGGAGAAGGGATTGTGGCATGGCCGTGGCCACCCCCCCCGGGGGGTGATTTCTCACGTTCTGTCTCTCTGTCTCTCTCTGTCTGGCGAGCACACACGCCCTATAGCAAAAACCTCTCCAAAAAAAAATAATAATCTTCAATTCAAACACAGAGTTTTAATCATATAAGACAGGCATATTATGTCCAAATCCAGCAGGACTGTCACAGGCAGCAATTCTGGTTAATTCCTTGTGCCTGCTCCTGTCCCCAACACAGTTTCTGACACATGCAGCAGGCCTAACAATGTTTGTTGAATGAATAGATGGGCTGATTCATAATAGTGTTGGGAGAAGATTTCTGCTGAGCAAAACTGGGAATCATTGAAGATGCTAATTCACAAAGCTATGCATCTAGATATTGGAAAGTTGTGCTCTTTGTCCCTGTCCAAGGGAGGTCTCCTCTCACGCTCTCTGCCTGGGGCTTCTTGGTATGCCCCTAGATCACCTCTTCACACTCTCGCTGACACTGCGTCTGATCAAAATGCTTCAAAAAGTTTTTGACTGCTGTTATATTCTGTATAAACACCTTTGAATTTTCTACAGCATCATTGATGTCAGCAAATTATATTTTCAAAATACTCTTTAAAAGATTGACATAAATATGATCTAACATTAGACTTACATACTTCTCATTCTAGAAAGTAGCATTCTTCATTGAAACGGAGGCGGTTTGTGCAAAATGACTAAATTTACTAAGCTGCTTGTAAGCAAACTGAGAATGATTTTATCTAAATGCTTTGCAGAAAGACAGTACAGAAGAAAGCAGAGTCTCCCTATTATAACTGGCGTATGAACATGCTATTAATCTGTGTACATTTAACTTGTAAAAATGAGGAGTGGATCCTCTGGGCTTAATTTAAAGAAGACAGACACTTTTTTCCTCTCATTATTGCCTGGCCTAAGACACAAACATTCAGGCACATTTTTCATTCAGGCTCATTACTATTTGGTCTAAATTATAAAATAATGATAAAGGTAAATACAGCAAATATTCTGTAGCACTTCACTATCATTTTAAGCATAAGCATCACTAGACAATCGATAGGAAATGCGATGGCTTAGTCTTCTTTTAGAACGCATAGGATAATGCTAACCTTGATCTTAAACAACAAAGGAAAGCTCTGGGCACTCCACACAAAATTCTAACTACAAGTTTGGCCTTAATTTTAATGTCCTTATTTTTTTAATGCCTGGAGAAAAAGCCTAGCTAATGATCACCAGCAACTCTACCCAGAATACAGTGTATTTCTGAACTTTTACCTAAAGGTGATCTGGGAATTTTGTTTTCTTTTCTTTTTGTCTTTTCCTTATAATTTGCCAGAGGGTTCATGTGCTTTAGGAGAGAGACAGAGAAAGTCAGAGAGAGAGAGACAAGAAAGAGAGAGAGAGAGAGAAAGAGACTATGAAAAAGTACTCCCAAAGGAGAATAGTCATGCCACAATCCCTTCTCCATTGCTCCCTTTTTTGGGGATTTTGGGCACACACACACACACACACAGACACATAGCATGAGTTTCAAGTAACCAGGTCTAGGATTTGAATCACGTGGGCAGCCAAGTGTAATCCAGCTACCTCAACCACCATGGGCTTGCCAGAGATTTTTTTCCCTTTTCGATAGTTGTGAGATTTTTCTCAGCCCTGGAAACACATAAGATGACTCAGAGATAAGAGTGTCACAGAGAAGGCCTGATTGAATTTTTCCTTCCTTACAGGAAATTAAGAGCTGGATTGTCCTTGGGGTCTTCTTTGAGTACCAAGACCTGTCAGAGCTGACTCCAGCCACTTATCTAAATATAACCACCACTCTGATAATACAGCACCAAAACTTACTACAACTCAGTCTTCCTCTCCTTCGGTGTTCCTTTCTGAGATGTGGATGATATGGTCTGAGGGTAAGGAGTCTGGCCTTGTGGAAAGAGATGCATTTGAGTTTGACTCCTCTCTTCGACTGACTGACTGTGAGAGTTGGCTTCCTGCACGATAGCTAAGATCAACTCCAGATCCTACTGCTTGCCCTTAGTCGCTGTTTCTTCTGAACCTTTCTGTGGCAGTTGACAGTGTGAACCATGTTCTTCATCTCTCATCTCTTCTCCTCCTTGTCTGAGCATGATCAAATGCAGTTTTCCTAAAAATAATATAATAACAATAAGAGTAGGTCAAATATTTATTCATTGGGATTCTACAATAAACTACACATTGCAGTAGGAGTGGAAGGGAAAACTTGCCCCTTTCTTTGAAGAGCTTGCTGTCTGAAGATTATAAGAAATATTTGCAAACTTCTAACATGTAAGTAGTCATAGTAGAAGTAGTAGTAATAGTAGTGGAGTAGTAGTTCATAGTAAGAGACGATTAAAGACAAGACTATTAAAGTTCTTGGATGCCTGTCTGAGTAACTTAAGCTTTATTCTGTAGGTCAATGTTACCAAATTTTCAAATTGTGCTCATTGTCAGTAAATAAAAGAAAAAAAAAGTGAAGCTGCAGCAATCAACACACACACTCACAAACACAGAGTACAATTAATACTCAGTATTCTCAGAATTCAGGGACCAGCAGATGGTGTAATGTTTACGTTGCTGGACTCCTACATAGTTGACCTTGTTTAGAGTTCTCGACTGAGTGACTTAAAACTCACATCTGGCATGTGTGTGTGAGTGTCCAAGATTTCAAGAGGAGAATGGAAGAGAAGGGGTTGTGGTGTGACCATCCCCCCCGGGGGCTTATTTCTTGCTTTCTGTCTCTGTCTCTCTGTCTCTCAGATGAGTGCTCACACACTACAGCAAAAACCTCTAAAAAACATCCAGAAAAATAAAAAACAAACAACAGCAACAACAAACTATTCTCAGAATCCATATTAGCAAACTCACCTACTAAGTAACATTTATTTGTAACTCCCAGTCAATACTTGCAGCATTTTAGTCATTTGTAGATACATGCAGAATAGGAAAGAAATTTAAGTTTCTGTCTCACACATTCTCAACTGATATAAAGCAAGTTGATGCTCTGACTTATTTTTAATTGACAGATAAAAATTGTATTTATTTAAGGTATACATCTTGAGTTTTCATGTATGTGGATATTGTAAAATGATTGCCACAATCAGGCTAATTAGTAGATGCAGCTCATCACATAGTTTTCATTTCCTTTTTTTTTCTGTGTTTGTGTGCTTATTAAACATGTAAGATCGACCTTTAGCAAATTTTAAGTATACAACACAGTACTGTAAAATACAGTCACCATGCTGTACACTACCTCTTCAGAACTTATTTGTCTTGCATAACTAAACCTTTGTACCATTTGACCAACAACTCTTCATTCTCTCCTCTCCCTAACCTCTGAAATTAACATTCTACCCTCTGCTTCTGCAAGTTCAACTCTTTTAGAATGCAGAACAACTGATATCATGCAGAATTTGATTTCTATGCCTGACCTGACTTATTTTACCTAGTATAATGTCCTCTAGGTTAATTCCTGTTATCAAAAATGGCAGAATTTAATTTTTTTCAAAGGCTGATAAAATTCTATTGTGTATACATTGTCTTTATCCATTCATCTGTCAATAGACATTTAAGGTATTTCTATTTATTAGCTGTTGTGAATAATGCTACCTTGAACATGGCAGGCAAATATCTCTTAGAGATAACTGATTTCACTTCCTTTGGATATACAACTAGAAAAAAATTATATTATAGTTCCATATTTTTTTTTAGAGAGATTTTTGCTATAGGGCACATGCACTTGCCGGAGAAAGAGACAAAGACAGAGAGACCGATAGCGAGAAAACACCTTGCTGCAATCACTTCTCCATTCTCCTCTCGGGATTTTGGGCACGCATGCACACGCCCAGTATGAGTTTCAGTCACTGAGTCCAGGACTTGAAACTTCAACAGCAGTTGACCACATGGGAGTCCAGCAAAATAACCAGTACATCATCTGCTGGTCCCAGATGTTTAATTTTTAATTGAAGTTTCATGTTGTTTTCCATAATGACTGTACCAATTCACAAATGCTCCTTTTTCCATATCCTTACCAAAAAAGGCATATCTTTTCCCCCTTTTTTTTAAGAGAGAGATTTTTGATATAGGGCACATATGCTCCCCAGAGAGACAGGGAGCTAGAAAGCAAGAATGCTGCAATCCCTTCTCCATTCTCTCTGGATCTTGGGCACATACACACACGCGTTTGGCATGAGTTGTAAGTTGCTGGGTCCAGAACTTGAACCATGGTTGACTACCTGGCAGTCCAGCAATGTAAACATTTCAACATCTACTGGTCCCCATCTTTTGCCTTTTCGATAATAGTCATTTTAACAAGTATAACGTGATACTTCATTGTGGTTTTCAAATTCTATTTCCCTGATAATAAGTGATGTTGAGCACCTTTATATATCCATTGAGCATGTCTTCTTTTAAAAAATGTCTATTCAGGTCCTTTCCCCATTATTTAATCTGATTACTCTTTTTGCTTTTGAGTTATGTGACTTTCTTATATATTTTGGATATTTGCCTTTTATCATAGATATATGGTTTGTAAATGTTTTATCCCATTCTGTGGGTTGCCTTTTAAAATTAATTAATTAATTAATTAATTTACAAGTTTTTGCTATAGTGCGCGTACGCTCACTAGAGACACAGAGAGAGACAGAAAGCGAGAAATTACCCCCAGAGGGGATGGCCATGCCGCAATCCCTTCTCCTCCATTCTCCTCTTGGGATCTTGGACACGCACACACACGCACCCAGCATGAGTTTATCCACCAGGTCTGGGACTCGAACCACAGTCAACTACATGGGAGTCCAGCAACATAGCCATTATGCTAACTGCTGGTCCCTGGGTTGCTTTTTACTTTGTGGATTGTTTTCTTTGCTGGACAAATTTTTATTTGATACATCCCCATTTTTGCTTTTGTTGCTTGTACTCTGGGTATATATAAAAAGAAACTCATTGCCCATCAAGAAGGCCTTCCCTGTGAATTCTTTTAGTAGTGTTTCTGGTTTCAGGATTTATGTTTATATATATATATATATATTGTTTGTTTGTTTGTCTGGTGAGTTGGTGCATGTACTCACCAAAAAGAGAAAGAGAGAGAGAGAGCAAGTACCCCACAATGGTCATGCCACCATCACTTTTCCTCCATTTCTTTATCCTGTCAAGATTTTGGGTATGAATGCACATGTGCCCTGCTTGTTTTTCAAGTCACTGGGGCTGGGATTTAAACTTCACTAAGTCACATGGAGTCTGGTTCTCTATACACAGCACTGTTGTGCTATAGAACCAGTCCCGATTTTTAAATATAGTGTGAGAGCAAAATAGCATTGCATCCTTCTGCATGTGAGTGTCCAGTTTTCCCAATGCCTTTTATAAAAAGTCTATCATTGCTCTATTGTGTGTTTTGGCATTCTTTTTGAAAGTTAAATAACTGTAAATGACTGCATTTATTTTTGGGCTCTCTATTCTGTTCCATTAGTCTATAGCCCTATTTTATGCCAGTTCTATATTGTTTTGAATACAATAGCTTGTAGTAAATTTTGGAATGAAAAAGTCTGATGCCTCTAGTTTGTTCTTCCTGTTCAAGAATACTTTGGTTATATGACTTCTTTCATGGCTCTATATGAATTTTAGGATTATTTTATCTAATTCTGTAATGAATTCCATTGTCATTTTGATAAAAATTGCATAAAATATGTAGATTAATTTGGGTAGAATGAGCATTTTGACAATATTTTTCCCATTTGTGAACACAGATGTAGTTCTATTTACACCTTTAATTTCTTTCATCAATGTTTCATTTTTTTAAGAGGTTTTTTCCCATAGAGCATATGTGCTCTCCAGAGACACACAGAGAAAGCAAGAGGAAAAATGAGAAGTCACCTCCCAGGGGGGATGGCTATGCTGCAATCTCTTCTCCATTTTCCTCCTGTGATCTTTGGCACTCATGCATATGCACCAGGTGTGATTTTGAAGCCACCAGTTCTGAGACTCGAACTGCAGTCAATCATGTGGACATCCAGTGATGTAACCACTCCGCCATCTGCTGACCACAATGTTTCATGATTTTTAATGTGAAGTCTTTCACTTCTTTTTACCTAAATATTTTCTTTTATAAAAAAGAATTATTTATTTAATTTTATTTATTATTGATATTTTAAAGTTTGCTATAGGACACATACATTCAGCAGAGAGAGGCAGAGAGAGAGAGGGAAACTGAGAAAGCAAGCCACCAGGTTCAGGACTAGAACCATGGTCAGCCATGGGAGAGCCTAGCACCTCAACCACCACACCACCTACTGGTCCCAGTATTTTATACTTTAGTTGGTTTTGGAAATGGGATTATTTCTTTAATTTTTATAATTGGTTGGTTCATTGTTTAAAGAATCATCACAGAATTTGTTTATTGATTTTGTATTCTATAAATTATTGATTATTTTTATTAGTTCTAACACTTTGTTCTTGTTGAGTCTTTAGGGTTTTATGCATATATAGTCGTACAATTTGTGAACAGAGATTACTTTCTTTTGAAAGCCTTTGCTTTCTTTTTCTCTCCTAGTTGACCTGACTAGAACTTTCAGTACTCTGAAAGTGCGAAAGAGTGAGTACCCTTGTCTTGTATCTCCTTAATAAAAAAGTTAAAAGGCGAAAAAAATTATGAGTAACAATAAACACAAAAATGTTAATGTATACACAATATTAAAAATGAATGCAGACTACAAAGACACAAAATGGGGGAAGGAAGGAAAGTGTAGATTTGTGTACACAGTTCATGTCTTATCACTTAAAAATAGATGAATATAACTACAAGATATTTTATGCAAGCCTCATGGTAACTATGGAATTTATGGAGCATAATTACCTAAAAATGAGAATAGATGGTTTAAATATGCATTATAACAATATATTATGCACTTTATATGATGAATCCAGAAAAAATAACTTTAAGACACAGAAAGTTCTGTCATGGTTTAACTTTTTCTGGTAGGCCCAAGGACAGATTATAATGAGTCAATATAGAAAACTCAAAACTCAATTATTTCTTAATATCTGATTGGCTGTTAGGCCAAAACAATCTATCTTTGAATAAAAATGTAAACATAGTCTAACCAGAGTAGAACCCTGGGATTTCACATTTTTACTCACAACATAGGTCCAATAAGGTGTCCAATATATGCTATTTCCTATTAGCAAATTTATTGGGTAGTTATCCTCTGGTGTGCAAATTCTATTAGTGCAACATGAAACCCCATAACTGTTTACTGGAGTCTATATAGAAACAAGAATCAACCAAAATAAATGGAGTCAGGGAGGCAATCCTGAGAAGACACTCACAAAGGAGAAACACGGCGGTAGCACAAGGTAACACTGAACTCTATTGAAAGGCTAGAGAGCCTCTTTAACAAGACTCATTTTAGCAAGCTCTAACTTCTGAATATGACCTCCAGGAGTTTGTGACTTCAAAGAATTTAGTCCTGTGGTTGTAGAGGTCCAAGTCACAATCATGGAAAGGATAACTAAAATTAAATGGAAATCAAATTATTTAGACATAAATGGTCAAAGAAGTTAGCTTGCCAAAAAATGGCAGAAATTGGTATGAAAAAAATATTCATGAACAGGTCCCCAAATTCTTCCTATATGTAAAAGAATGACCCAGAGACTAACGATCATATAGAAGTGGATGGAAAGTAAAACTGTAGACTGATGCTGTGGCTTCAGAAAATTTTTATTTAAGAATGGAAAAGTAATTGTCTGACAATATTTAGGGCAGATTGCTCTAGATCTAGGTTCTGAAATAGGTAATAACATGAGAGGAAAAAACAGTTTCTACTTTTCAGAACATCTGTCCTTTAGAGAGCACTAGACTATAATGAGAAGATGAAAATGTAGAACTTGTGAGACCAGAAGATGGCATAGCAGTTGCATCCCACGTGGCCAAAGGTGGTTCAAGTCCCAGACCCAGTGGCTTGAAACTAATGCCGGGCATGTGTGCATGCATGCCAAAGATCCTGAAAGGAGAATGGAGGAGAAAGAATTGGGGTGTGGCCATTTCCCTTGGGGGGGAGTGGCCATTTCTCTTGGGGGGGGTGATTTCTCACTTTCCCTCTTATTGTCTCTGTATCTCCCCAGCAAGTGCATGCACCCTTCAGCAAAAACCTTTTTAAAAAGAAAGAAGATGTAGAACTTGTTTACAATACTTTTGGCATGGTCTAGGAGTGAGGATAAAGAGCAAGCAGTCTGTTGGATTGAGTGCCAGGTGGAAGAGAAGGGCCATAAAAAGTGACTAAAAAGGACTGACTTTTAAGTTGAACATTATGATTCCTAAGATGAGAAGAAGAAATGTACTAGTCTAGGTAAGGTTTCCAAAATTTGATATATTGCTTTAATACAAGAATTGGCTTAAAGTCTCAGGTGTTACCAGGGCCTGGTTAATCCACTGGTTTCCTCTTTGTGACACTCTAAATGTCCCATGTGAATGACTTTGGCAGGCTCTGCATCTCAGCTTGCCTAGCTGTGGTTCAGCTGTGGGGTGAAGTCCTAAGTGTGGTTTACAAAGCTCTTTATCATCCATGTTCATCTCCTACTATTTCTCCTTGGCACAAGTAAATTGCCAGAAGTCTCCCTTCCACAACCAAGGTCCAGATGGGCACAATTTATGTATCCTCTTCACCTCTCTCTGGGAGATTCTTAATCCAATTCAAGGCTCAACTGTAATGTCATCTGCTCTGTGAAGTCTTATCCAACTTCTCTTCCCCTCCCCAAGATTCACTGAGCTCCTTCTTCAGATCAGAAAGTTCTCAGAACATTTCAAACAAACTGAAGGTGACATGGAAATGCAGAACTGGTTGGAAAGAGGCAGAATTGATGTGCCCCGAGACCCCTAAAGATACATCTCATGCCCATGTCTAATGAAGAAAGCATTAGCAAAATTTGATAGTAAATCAAGACATAATCATCAGCAAACAAGAGCCAGCAAGGTGTGGCAGTAAAAACCCCAGGCCCAGATCGCTGGGGCTTGAATCTCTTTCTACGAGGGAAACTATGTCCTGCTCTGTGAAAGAAGTGTTCTGAACACTGAATGGGTAACTCAACACAAAGCAGTTGGACCCACACTTGGTACCATGCTGAATGTACAGTAAGAGGTATCTATTATTTTGATTAGAACAATTTAAAATTTCTCTTTGTTCTAATTGAAGATTACTATCAAATTTGGTTACATAATCTTCTGTTGGTTTTTGTTCATTATTTTTGTTTTTATTTATTTATTTTTTTTTGCTTTTATCTCCCTTCTGGGAGAATTCAAGCAGTAAAAAGCAAAAGCAAATTAAAGAAAGGTATTAGTAAGCATTTTAGTTTTCCCCTTGTCGAATACACCTCCTGTTTCTTTTCACATTATGATTTGATATTTTTATCCTTAAGGACACACACATGCAAACACTGTAACAATTTAAAAGTAATTTTAGTTATTTAGTTCATTTAGCTAAAATGTTAGTTATTGGAGAGCTCAACTCATTGTATTCTTTCGTATCTTTTGAAAATACTATAAAGTATTCTGAACGGATAGGCAAAACAGGAATGTGTTTAGACAGTATATTTAAATGTGTGTGAAATTATATTTTTTTAACCAGATCTTGCTCTTATGAATCTGTATATTATTATAGGCAGGATTTCCTTGCTTGCACTTGTTATTAGAATCACATGGAAGTGTAAATAACTGGTAGCTTTCAAATGAAACCACAAAGTAAAATGTATTCTGTGTTAGAGGGAGCTTTGCTCTTAAAAAAAATAGCATGTGGAAGAGTTTAAGACTTGAGGTCTATTTATTAATCAACAGGCTGCTTGGGATAGCATTTGCTCTATCCTTTCCTGGAAATCTTACTAACGCTACACTAGCCAATCCATCATAGCTTCACAAAGGAAGTGATGAAAAGCATGCCTGTCTTCTGCACTTAAAATTGAAATTAGCCTGATTAGTTTTCACAAAGAGTCTTCTACAGTCAGACCTGGCCGACTTCAAAAGATACATGGAGGGACCAGCAGTTAGCGTAATGGCTATGTCGCTAGACTCCCACGTAGTCGACAACGGTTCGCATCCTGGACCCGGTGGCTTAAACTCACGCCATGCCCGTGTGCGTGTGTGCCCAAGATCCTGAGAGGAGAATGGAGGAGAAGGGATTGCGGCGTGGCCATCCTCCCTGGGGGGTGATTTCTCGCTTTCTGTCTCTCTGTCTCTGTCTGGCGAGCTCACGCGCCCTATAGCGAAAACCTCTCAAAAAAAAAAAAAAAACATGGAAAAAAAAATTCTAAACTACAAGGAGTTGAGAATCTGGCACGAATAATGTCATTTTTAAAGCTTTAAAAACCCAAACGAATGTACAAGAACACTCCTGCTATTGCAGAAGTTTCCAAGCAAACAATTAATTTTAATAAAAATATATTTGATCAACATATGTATTTGTCACTTAATAGTTCCAGGTGACTCTAACTATTATGTCTCAAATTTAAGTCTATTATCTTTGCATAACTTATACATCTTGATTTGGTGAGTAAAGAAGATAAATACTACTGAAATTCTGCTACACTCATTGACCATTTACAGTAGAGGTAGAAAATATAAATGCATGCAGGACAGGCAAGAATTGTGATCTGGCCACCAGCTGGTGGTGAATGGGGAAGACAGCCTTATTTAAAGGTGACAGCCATTACTAGTTTTGGTCCATCATAGGCTGAATCAACATTGCCAGCTTGTGTAACAGTACCATTGAAAACTAGATTTTTTTTCCATGTTTAAGTTTTTGATAATTAAAAAATTAAAAAATTTAATTAAAAAATTAAAACACTCAACAAAATAAGTCAGTCACATTTGTTTTAGGAACAGTTACTTAGTCACTTAGCATTCTGGAAAATAGTCTTGGATTTTGTCATTTATTTTTGTTCTCCTACCATAAGACTTCTGGCCTTTCTCCAGTATACTCTGACACAGTAAGGTTGCATAAGTTTCATTTAATACTATTACTATATGAGTTTACCAGAATGGTCCACAAAGACATTCTTTCTCCTTTCATTCTTCTCTTCCTCTTTCTCTTTTAAACAAGATTCAAACTTCATTCATTGGGAGAATTGAAAGGGAATCACATTTATGAAGTGATTTACATTTGCCAGATATTCTCTTACTTCATTTAATCCTACTAAAACTCTGCAAGGATTACTGATCAGGAAATGGAGTCCTATGAAGAGTAAATAATTTATTAAATATCCAATTTAATTTATTATTTTTAATTTTTAATTTTAATTAAAGTTAAATGAATTAAAATTAATTTAATAAATTAATAAATTAATTTATTAAATATCAAACATCAAATAAGTAGGACAGAAATAATTCAAACTCAAGATCTGCTGATTGCAAAATCCATGCTATTTTATTTCAACATGCTGCCTCTAGATTAAAAAATGTTTTTTTATTTGATTCCAGTGATTATCCAACCAGTATGTGACTCTTTTAGACACCATAAAACAAATGTTAAACAAAAGAGAAAATATAAATATTGGTATCAATTTAAATCTGACAAACTCTGGGATTTCTAATTTGAAGATAGACAACAAGAAAATTAGAAAACAAATTATATATTTCTTAAAATCAGAGGACAGGCATAACTCTGAACTAAACAAATAAAAAGGGTGTGGCCCAGGGTGGCTGTGAATAACCTACCATAAATTTACCCATTTCTTTACCTTTTGTATCTAGAAGAGCCAAAAATGCCCAAGTGGCATTTCAACTTCCTCTTTAATGAAAATTGTCACTCAAGGAAATATTTCTCTCTAGGCAACTAAGACATTTTAAATCAGGAGAACCCAAAGTCAAAGGGAAGAGAAGAAAAATTTCACAAATCTGGTATTAGATATATTAGTGAAAGGAGCTATTCTCACTACTTAATTTTCAGACTCAGGTGTTTTCATTATAAGAGAAATAGCACTATTTATTAGTTGCTAATGTAAAGTGTATAGCGAACAGTGTATGATAACATCTCAACCTTGCTATGCATTGTTTTATCAGCTGGTAATATTGATTGAGTTATGTGATTCCATTCCATCATTTCAGGTTCCTCTGGGATGGGATTATGATGCAAACCCAGTGAATTGCAAATATGAGCCTATTTCTACATTTCTTTTTGCAGTGAAATGAGTACCTTGGTTAAAAATAATATTGTATTTTTTAATCTTCACCATTCTGACTGTGGTTAGGTGGTTTTGATCTGCATAGTGATTTAATGTATGATTAATAATTTTAAAAATTGGGACCAGCAGTTAGCATAATAGCTATGTCGCTGGACTCCCACGTAGTCAACCGCGGTTCCAGACTTGGTGACTTGAAACTCACGCCGGGCGCATGTGCGTGCGTGCTCAAGATCCCAAGAGGAGAATGGAGGAAAAGGGATTGCGGCATGGCCACCTCACCCCCCACAGGGTGATTTCTCTCTTTCTGTCTCTCTGTCTCTGTCTGTCTGTCTGGCGAGTGCATGCACCCTATAGCAAAAACCTCTCCAAAAAAAAAAAATAGATAAAAAAATAATAATTTAAATTTTTTTTGAGAGATTTTCACTATAGGGTGCGTGCGCTCGCCAGACAGACAGAGACATAGAGACAGAAAGCGAGAAATCACCCCCCAGGGGGGATGGTCACGCTGCAATCCCTTCTTCTCCATTCTCCTCTCGGGATCTTGGGCATGCATGCACACGCGCCTGGCGCGCGTGGCAATCCCTTCTTCTCCATTCTCCTCTCGGGATCTTGGGCATGCATGCACACGCGCCTGGCGTGAGTTTTAAGCCACCAGGTCCGGGACGCGAACCGCGGTCGACTACGTGGGAGTCCAGTGACATAGCCATTGTGCTAACTGCTGGTTCCCTCTTCATGTCTTTTATGTGTCCAACTGCTATATAGTAACATCTCATTTTATTCACTGCCAGTACCATAATCCGTTTAGAAGCACCAAATGTCTTTATGACCACAGGAGTCGTTAAACAAATGAAATGTAACATGAGTCCATTTTTTTCCAGTGCATAAATTTATCTTTGGGAAGAAATTTGATAATTAGAAGGGTTCAGATCACTTTTTTTCTGTCTTAAAAGTTTCATACTTATTCCCAAATAAAGCCTAATATAATAAGATAATCTGATTCAGTGAAAGAAAACAGCATTCCCAAAGCCCTTTTCAATAAAGAACATTTAGTTCCTGGTGTATTTGAAATGTCAGAATTCACACCCAAGATTTCTATGAACTAAAATAAACTAATAGCAAGCACTTAAGACAAAAAAATATCTGAAATAGTAGGGTTCTCAAAGGGGTTTTAGATAATGATCTTCATTTAATAAATGAAGGCTTTTTTTCCCATCTATTTTTATAAATATACATTCTTCAAGGAAAATAGAGTGTTCTATTAACACAGGAGAAACAGTCAAACAGAAAGAATAAATTTATTTTCCTGTTCTGAATAAAATAAATGTCAGTTACTTGGCTCACAATGTACCATGTTAGATACACAGAGAAAAAGGAATGTGATTAAATAGCTTCTCATTTGGTGCCTTGTTTATGTATTCAGTCTCGATAATGCACTCTAATATAATCAATCACTGATTTTAATTTCCTTTATTGTGCTACAGTCAGATGAAAAGGAAAGAGAATTAAATGAAGGAGTTGCTCAGCCCGGCCGTGCCTCGTCTCTTGATCCAGATGGTGAACTTCCTGTCTTTTTTGCAACGTGTGTCTGACTGAACAGCAAGCACCCCCACCCTGGCACTTGCCATTCACAAAGCACTTTCCTAGGAGGATTAGAATAGAATTTCCACTTTACTCTTTGTGCATAAGAGGGAATCGTAAATAATGAGCTTGGCTTTCACGAATCATGTAATAATAAAAAGCATCTCATCGTCTCTATGTATTACATGTTTGACATATTATAAAGTCAATAGCAGATGCCTTTGACATTGTCAAAGTCTCACTGGTCAAGAGAGTGTTTGCTAGCATCTTTAATTACAATATAATTGACAATTTTGGCTTCTTTCTCTCACTCTCTCTTTTTTAACCATCCAAACATTAATCAAGAGATTATAACAAGAAGAAAATGAAACCATTGTGTAGAGATGAGGATTGCAATGGTTAGTTCTTTCTTCATTAAGCTGAATATTTTCCACAAAAGTAAAATCTAAGGAAATGATCTATAATTAAAGATTAGAAATTTCTTAGGCTATGTCCAATGAGAATTTAGTACTTTTCAAGTCTTTTATTTAGCATTGTTTCCCAAGCCCCATCAGTTCTGCAGCCCTTTAGTTTGTGAGATTGTTTCTTCAGAAAATTTCATCAAAATGCTTTTCAGCAAAATCCTTTACCTGGCAATTCATCAGAAATAAAAGCATAAAACTTTCCTCCTGGATGTACTCGCTACAGCATCATATGACTGGATAAAATGTAAGTGTCAGCTGAGTGAGGATGCGCATGCTGCTCATGTGTGAGGTTGGCTAAGACCCTGTGGTCTGCAGGCTGGGACCATGGGGGAGGCCCAGGTTTGACTCCTGGTCCAACCAGAAGTCCAGGAGTGGTGGTGTGTGCCTGTAATCCTAGCAATTTAGGAGGCTGGGGCAAAAAGATCACAAACTAGTGGCTGGTTTGGGTGACATGGCCAGACTCTGTCTGAAAAAGATCAGGACGTGCTGGTGAGTACCTGTGGTCCCAGCTTTGACAGTAAGGCAAGAAAATTGCAACAGTGAGATTCTGTCAATCAATAAATTAATTAATAAAGTCTTCAGTGCCTAAACAAGGATCTCTATTTCCAAACCCTTCACTGATACTCAAAGGAATATGAACCCTCTTTCTTAGGCTTCCCAAGTTCTCCATCTCTCATACAGCACAAAACATCAAGCCTTTTATTGCTCTGATTCTTCTCCAATTAATTGTGTCCTCATTGAAGGATGGAGCCTTGATTTCTCCACCTTTGTATCCCCCAGTTCAAGCCTGGCATCTGGCATCTGACTTCAATAAAATGAAAAGTTGAAGAATCTAATATTAAAAGCAAATCCCCTTTTTCATCCCTAGTTATTGAATTTCTAGATGTCTTTGGATAATCCTGAGTACATTTAAAACTTCCTGTATTCTCATGGGAAGGTTCTTTCAAGATCAGGAATTTGGGAGAAGGGTGATCAGTCCTTCAGAGTCCAAAGCACTTCTCTGCATCATTGGCTCTCTCTGCTTCCCTTTCCCAGTAGGAAATCTTGTAGTGTTCTCTCACCTACCATGCAAAGGTGGTGCAGTGATGACTGAGGCTGGCAGGGCCAGAGTTGTGCACAGTCATTGAATTGGAGAGGTGATTTACGATGCTGCGATTTGGCCTAGGTGCATTATGAAAGAGTAGAGAGATGGGCGATTTAAGGTGTACAGCTGCCTCCATCTTCTGACGTCACAGTTCCTATTTCTGATCCCATCCCCAAAAGAAGTAACATATGGAATCCTATGAATGAGGCTCACTTGATCCTGGATTTACAGGAGGGTCTCAGATTCTAAGACATTAGCAGTGCAGACAATGAATCCAGTACAGGTGATTTCACCATTTTGGTTTCTTTGTAAGCCTTATCAACCCAACATAATGCTCTTTTCAAACACTTCAGGACTTCTCACAATGAGACAGGTCACCAAATGCAAGCAACAGATTTTTCATACATCAGCTCTGTTCACTGCTGCCAAAGCAGGTGTAGACCTCGATGATGCTGTCTGTGACCTGCACTTCTACTCTGTAACCGCTGCTGGCCAACCATAGATAGCCCCAATACACAGCTATTCTCAACAGTGTAAGGTTGTAGTTAGGAAAAACTAATTATATTAATTTTCCTTTTCGAGGATATTATAGGACATCACTAATTATTTCCAGATGATTATAACTCGATGTTTTAGTCTACTGCAAGACATTACATCATAGGATGATTGCCTCTTCAAGGTATTATTGTGATCTTTGTTTTTGATCAAAAAGTTTTATTCTATATTAAACTGGAAGAGAGAATAAAGTATCAACATCCATACATAAATTCTGATTATGTTTTTTTTTTCTTCCAAAACGCTTTTATGAAATCTCCTAGCCTGAAAAATTCTTTCTCTGCAGTTCTTTATTTGAGCCAGTACCTGTGATGTCAGAATTTGGTACATACTGTCAGAATCTGTTCCCAGCGTAAACTCTAGTACATTGAGACAATCATTGAAAGAAGATTGATCTGTAGGAAAAATATTAAAATTTTTAGGAGGCAAAACAGCCATGAAAAATTATAATTCACTTTGGTGTTAGAACAGATTTCCTGCAGCTCCACCCTTCAAGGACAAATGATAGGGAAACAAATAGTCACATCCAAGGTCATAGGAACCTTCTCCATCCCCGCCATGGTCCCTGGATACCAGGTTTAGAATTGGACTGAAACTGATTGCAATCAATAATAATAATCATAAAAAGTGTGTCCCTATAACTCTATGGAACTACTTTCCATAAATTTTCACTTAATGGAATTGAACTGAAAGTGGTTCCAAGGCATTCATAGCATTCTCTTTGTCATGTGGGGGGACACAGTACAAGGAGCCCCCTTAAATATCAGCCTTCAAGGTCAGGAGAAGTCTTTGTGTTTCTCCCCACCATGAAACCTGGCACTAAGCTAAGTGGTCACCCTAAAGTAAGGCAAGAACCAAAAATACAAAACAGCAGACACTGTCCAGGAAAAGCAGACAGAAGAATGCACTGGAATAAAATTAAAATGTAGCCAAAGGAAAGGAAAAAAAAGTTTGTTTTTTTCTTGCCATAAATAAAAAGAATAAAGTAAAAAGCAGAAGAACAGTGTACACACAGAAAAGGTGTTCAGTATGTGTGACTTAACCATGCAATTCTGTCAGAGACACAATTCTTTTTGATTTCCCACACCAGACAATTGGCGCCTAATTAAAAATAAAAAGATATAAAAAGAAAGGAGAAAACCAATATTAAGTAGGATGATCAAATAGTGAAAATAGAATGACATCAATGACTGTGCTTTAAATCACCACCTCAGGCTTCATTGTGGTTACATCTTTGTTTCTACTTCCTTTTCCACCTTATGAAAGCTATTTGATAAATGATGAACCACTGTTTGTGAAGCACTTACATCTTAAATAATGATTACAACAGGAAAGCAGTTAATGGTCAAAGGAAGAAGTATTCTCTTCAAAGCTAAACAGGTCTTTATCCATAGTTACTCACGAGAATTTCATTGTCTATACTAGGAAGATATTCTAATACTTGTGCCTCATCTTTGGGACAGAAGCGAAGAGCTAGTCACAGTAACTCTCACACTGTGAGCGCTTACTTGATCTCCCTATCAGATTGAACCTGCCACTCTCAGCTCTCCTTGGGGAGATAAAAATCAAGAGACATTTGTGCATCTCCACACCAAAAGTTGATGTAGTTCACTATGTCACTCTACCTGGAAGAGAAAATGTATGGCATTCGATTTGCTATAGTGTAGGATGTTGGAAAGATAAAACCTGTCTGGCTCCTTGGTTATCAACAACACAGATAAATTGCAACTGACTAACACTGGAGCATCAGAAGTCTCAAAAGTGCCAGGCTGTTTATATTTTCTGCAATGCTCTTAACATTAAATTAGAAAGGATTCTAAATAGCATTGAAACTGACAGGGTGTAGAAACAGATATCAACAAAACTACTCAGAAATGGAAGGAAGTCTTAGCTTTAAACGTCAAGTTCAAATTGATCTGTAGATAGAGAAAGACTCCTTTCTAGAAAAAAAAAAAAGTGTAGCCAAATGCTCATCAATAGAAACAGATGATCTTGGCAAACTCATTACAGTGCTGTGAAGCTGTTTGATAAAGCACAGGACAAAGACAAAGCTCTCTGTTAAAAGAGCAATCTGAGGCCCTCCACTCAAACTGCCAAATGCAGCTAACATGAACATCTCTTAACAAGAAACGTGCGGGGGGTGGAAAAATGAAGGAGCGATTCACTGAGCAGGATAGAAAGCACTGGATCAATCAAAAGCATTGCCTGAAATGCCTAGAGTTGATTACATGCCAAAACCCAATGATGCAGAAAACAACAACAACAACAAAAATCCCTGCAATAAATGGCTCAGAAAAGATCAACATTTGGCACTCACCAAAACTTAGCTAACTATTTATTTAAAATTCTACACATCTGGGGCAGGATAGCACTGAATGAGCTGAGCCAAATGTCATTCATAGGAGAGAGAACGAATGCGGAATATCAGAACAATCATCTCTTCCTGTGTGACTCAAAACTACCTCACAGATTAGACATTATTTAGAGCATCTGAGACATTATTTGGGATCTAACTGTGTAGGCTTATACACTTAATTTTAAATGAGTTCCAAGCCTTCTGGTCTTGACAACATTTTTGTTTATTTTTTTTTCTTTCATGCATGAGTGAGAGAGACCAAGACAGACAGACTATCTCAACAGGGTTTTGTTAATTTGACGGAAGGTGTCTGTACTTACTAGAGATAGAGAGAGAGAGGGAGAGGGTAAAAAAAAATCACCCCTCCCCATGGTATGTGGTCACACTGCAATCCCTTCTCCATTTCTGCATCTTGTCGGAATATGGAGCACACACATGCTCGCATGTGCTTTGGGGATGTTTTTGAAACTGTCAAGGCCAGGATTCAAACCTTGTTCAATAAACAGGCCCCAGCTTCCTTAACCACCAGGCCATGGAACTGGACCCCCAGTAGAGTCTTTTATACCACTGTCTACTCCCACCTTCAGCCAGTCCTGGATTAAGGAATGCATGCTCACATGCCATGTTCAGGGATGTCTCTGGACATCAACCAAGTACCTTTCTATGTTGGTTAGCCTCCCATACCATTACTGCTGCACTAACATCTAGCCCCTGGACTTGACAAATTTGACCCCAAGCTATTTAGAGAAATTGGGCTAGGAATCATATCCACTCAAAGAT